ATTCATAATATTGTACATTTGATTACTAGAGTTTGTTTGAGTTGTTAATACTATTCATAATATTGTACATTTGATTACTAGAGTTTGTTTGAGTTGTTAATACTATTCATAATATTGTACATTTGATTATTAGAGTTTGTTTGAGTTGTTAATACTATTCATAATATTGACATTTGATTACTAGAGTTTGTTTGAGTTGTTAATACTATTCATAATATTGTACATTTGATTACTAGAGTTTGTTTGAGTTGTTAATACTGTTCATAATATTGTACATTTGATTACTAGAGTTTGTTTGAGTTGTTAATACTGTTCATAATATTGTACATTTGATTACTAGAGTTTGTTTGAGTTGTTAATACTGTTCATAATATTGTACATTTGATTACTAGAGTTTGTTTGGAAGTATCAAGAACTACTTTAGTGGTACAGGAGTACAAACAAGAGTGGATGAACCAGAAGACAAAAAACCTAGTGCCTTGATGTCAAAAGTAACCAAGATCAAGGAGGATGGTGCCACTTCAAATTCGTCATCACATCCTGGGTTGAGGGTTCGTGGGTTGGACACCTCAGGATTTAGTGAAGCTGTTGATGAAGTTCAATTTGCAGGAGCAACACCAACAGTTCGCCAGTCAGCTGACACTGTTTACAGTATAAAAGCTCAAGAGTATGAAGAAAATTTTAATAAAAATTTAAGTATGTTTGCTCAGCCACGAACCATTGGCTGCACTCATTAAAATTACTTTGTTTTTATATTTGTAGTAACAATTATATAGTTTTAGAATTTTGTAGTATACGAATAGTGATTTAATACTGGGTGTAAAGCATTGTACGTTGTAATAATGACTTCAAAAAAGCACATAACATAACAGATACAGTCGATACTGTCTTTTTCTCCAAGCCTTCATCCTAAACATAAATTATCACGTTTGTTGATAACTTGTAAGATACTGTTCTGGTAGCCTTGCAATACCTTAACGAGGACAGAATTCAAATAGTATACTTAGCTGGTGATTTATTACAGGAAGCCTACAAAGCACATGTAAAAGCACATGATGCTTGAGAGTTAGAAGGAAAACGTACCTGTTGACAGAACCTTTTGGAACTTTTACTGTATAGTATTTCATTCTCTTATGTATTAACTAGAATTGGGTGATTAGCTCAATTAATTGAAATAATCTATTATGTATGAACATTAGTTAATATCGTGTAAAATTATCAAGTCATCGAAATATTCCCATTATGATTTCTCATAATTATTTTTGATTAATTTAATGTTGTTCGGCGTAATCAATTAGTGTTGTGACTTACAAAAAATGGTGAATTAATCAGAATTAGTAGATCCAGTTATTACTATTTTCGATTATCCAGCCCGGCATGGCCAGGTGGTTAAGGCACTCGACTCGCAATCTGAGGGTCGCGGGTTCGAGTTCCCCGTCACACCAAG